TTTAAAAATTCTTTAATGTTTAAAGTATTACATACAGTATTACATATGTGTCTTCTTTCCCCCATTGACTACAAATGAGTGAGATGATGTGATATTTATCTTTCTCCGACTGGCTTATTTTGCTTAGAATAATGCTCTCCAGGTGCATCCATGCTGTTTCAAATGATAAGAGTTCCTTCTTTTTACAGCAGTGTAGTATTTCATTCTGTTGATGTACCACAGTTTTTCAATCCACTCATGGATGGGCACTTAGGCTATTTCCAAATTTTACGTATGGTAAATTGTGGTGCTGTGAACATAGGGGTGCATATGTCCTTTACGATTTTTGTTTCTGATTTATTTGGATATGTTGCTAGAAGTGCGATTACTGAGTGAAATGGCAATTCAATTTATAATTTTTTGTTGAAAGTCTGTACTATTTTGCACAGTGTCAGCACCAGCCTGCATCACCATCGGTTGTGCACAAGGGTTCCTTATGTCCACTTCCTCACCAGGACTTGTCATTTGTCCATTAGTTGATGATAGCCATCCTGACGTGTGTGAGATGATATCTTATTGTCGTTTTGATTTGCGTCTCTCAGATAATTAGTGACTTTAGGCAAGATTCCATCTGTCTCTCTGCCCACTATAGGTCCACTTTCGAAAAGTGTCTATTTAAGTCTTTTTGCTTATTTTTTGATTGGATCGTTTACCCCCTTTTTGTGAAGATGTATGAGTTCCCTGTAAATTTTGGAGAGTAAATCCTTACCAGAGACAACATTGGCAAATATGTGCTCCTGGGCTTTCTTGTTTTTTGTTGATGGTTTCATTTGCTTTGCAGAAGCTTTTTATTTTGATGTAGTGCCATCTGTTTACTTTTTCTTACTTTCCATTGCCCTCAGAGCTGTATTTGTGAAGATATTCCTGGGACATATGTGTGATATTTTGCTGCCTATGGGTCCTTCTAAAATGCTCTGGTTTCTCCTCTTATGTTAAGTCCTTTTCCCATTTTTAGTCTATTTTTGTGTATCGTATAAGTTGGTGGTCTAGTTCCTTTTTATGCATGTATCTTTCCCAACACCATTTATTGAAGGGAGTGTCTTGACTCCATGATATGCTATTTCCTCCTTTGCAAAATATTGAGCATAAGGGCTTGGGTCGATTTCTGTGTTCTCGGTTCTGTTGCATTCTTCTATGTGTCTGTTGTTGTGCCAGGACCAGGAATTTTTGTGCTATTGCTTGGTATCTGATTTTGTGATTCCTCCAACTTTGTTATTCTTTCTAAAGATTGTTGGGCCTATTCGGTTGTTCTTTTTTTTTTATTATTCCATATGAATTTTTGAAGAGTGTATTATAGGCATGTGAAATATGCCCTTGGTATCATTTAATGAGTATGCGTTGAGTCTATAGATTTGTTTGGGTAGTATGGACATTTTATTGATGTTGATTCTAACAATCAACGAACACGGTATATTCTTTCATTTGTTTATATCGTCTTCTATCTCTTTTTTTCAACTTCTTGTAATTTTCTGAGTACAGGTCTTTGACCGCCTTACCTAAGTCTATTCCTAGGTATCCTAATAATTTTATTGCAGTGGTAGATAGGATTTGTTCCTGTTCTTAGGGAAAGTGGTTTTAGTTTTTTCCCATTGAGTGTCATACTGGCTGTAGGTTTGTCATATTAGGCTTTTATTATGTTGCGGTATGATCCCTGTACTGTCACATTGCTGAGAGTTTTTCTCAAGAAATGGTGTTGGATTTTGTCAAATGCATTTTCTGCATCAATTGATATGATTGTGATTTTTGTCTCTTATTTTGTTTTTATGATGTATCATATTTATTGGTTTGCAGATATAGGACCATCCTTTCATGCCACAAATTAAATCCCACTTGGTCGTGGTGTATAATCTTTCTAATGAAATGCTGGATCTGATATGCCAGAATAATGTTGAGGATTTTAGCGTCGGTAGCAGTCACTTCGACTACAGCGGGTGAAGTGCTGTGAAGAAGACACCCCTATGGTACAGGATTTGCTTCAGTGGGGCTCTGGTGCTCAGTGAATCTGACCTTGAGTGTGTGGCTTATGGATGTAAAGAGTTGTAAGCTGCTATGGTATGACACTGACCACTGGATACACTGGCTCTTTGTTCTCCTGGGAGGTGTAAAGTCAGCCAGTGCCTGGAGACACCCAGCTTGGTCTACAAAGAGATTTGTAGAGTCTTCTCTTTGTATCGGGTTTGGAAATGCCCTGATGAGGCCCAGCCTTGAATTAAGGGAGGCTAGTGCTGCTGCCGCATCTTGGGCCTTTTATTGATAGGTTTGGGGCTCCCAGACCAAACTGCAACTTTTTTGACAGGATTTAGCCCGACAAGAGAGGGCATTCATATAGAAAAGGTGCTGCACATAGCTTGGATGGGGTTTTAAATGGGATAAAGTGAGGTCTCAAGGAATCCCCAGGGTGAAGCCAACGGAAATGATTGTCAATCAGACCTTCAACCTGGGATGTCCCAACATAGGTATAATGACCTCTGCCAGCACCTCCGTCTGGGAGAAAGCCGCCCCTTAGTTCCTACCCCGATGCCAGTCAGTGCAGTTTCTCCTCATATATGTCTTCATCTACCCCTTCCCCCCAGGACCTCCTGGCCCAGGAGGTCAGGGGAATTTGGTTGCTTGTAAGTTCAGTATTCTCGTTTCCTAACATCAACCTCTGTTATGATGCTTTGGGGTTCATAGTGTCAGGTGTAACGTCTTACGTTTCATTTCTTTTTTCATTCCGTTGAGGTTTTTTTCCTTTTTTATTTATTTGTTTTTGTTTTTTGCTTTAGTCTAGCTCAGGGGTGGGCAACGTTCTTGTGAATGCGTGCCAAGACCAGCAAAATCTCTGACTCAAAATTCTGCGTGCCAACCGTAATTTTTTGAGAACATGTTATGCCTACTTGATATCTCTGGTGTACGCATGTGAAGAATCTTGAAGAAATAATAAAATTCATTCCAGCGACAAAAACACAGTATATGATGATAAAAAATACATTTAGTGTTTAATGTATACATGTTACGTAAAATTATTTATTTAGCTAAGATACACCTACACTGAATTTATCTCAAAAATAAAAAAGTCGATATTGAGAAAAAAATTGTAAATGAAAGAGTATAAGAGAGAGTTCCGCATGCCATAATGTAACAGAGATTGCCCACCCCTGGTCTAGATCAAGGTTTACCAATTTTTGTATTTGAGAAAAATACCTGTTAGGTATTTTTTAAATTTGGCTTATCTCCCTTTAATTGATGCTTGTTCAGATATTTCTGTGTCATTTCTTTGCAGTCTTTCAGCTTACTTTCTTGTTTTGTTTATAGATTCCTGAGATGGAAGGTTAGGTTTTTGAGATCTTTTTTTATAATGTAGGCATTTTTCCCTATAAAATTTCCTCTTAGAATTGTATTTTCTGGATTTTATACATGATTTTGATAGGTTGTCTTTTTATTGACTATGTCAATACATAGTTTTGATTTTAGTTTTGGGTTGGGCTACCTTGAAATTGTTATTTGTATATTTATTATTGCTTTCAGATAGAAAGGAAGAGAGATGGAGAGAAAGAGAGAGAGAAACATCGGAGTGAGGGAGAAACATCAATCGGCTGCCTTCTGTACTTAAGCTAACTGGAAATTGAATCCACATACTGATATGTGCCTTCACTGTGAATTGAATCCTCGACCCTTTGGTATTCAGGACGATGCTCCAACCAATTGAGCCATACTGGCCAAGGCATTCTGAGGTTTTTAAACACACCAATTTCCAGGTTTTGTTGTAGAATAGGCCACTAGGGTCAATGATAGCAGAAGCATAACTCTGACCCTTGTTTTTGACTGTAGGTATCTTCAAATATATTTGTTCACTCAGTCTTTCCAGTCATCCTTTCTGTACAGTTATCCTTTATTTGTGTCTGTAATACTTTTTGTCTTCATGGTACTCTTATTCCCATTTTCTATGGGGTTTTTGTTCATGGAAAGCTGTCTACTTACACTGGGACAGGGGAAGAAGCTCATCACTCTGATCCTGCCATCTTGCTGATATCACTCACCTTGGTCTTTTGACTGTGATCTCATTTGTCCTTTGGTGTTCTACCACAATATTGACCCTCCATGTTCTTTGCATTATTAATCCCAAGCAATGCCTCAAATGGGATTGAAGGGAAAGAATCATTTGTGCATCACAGAAGAAACACGACTTTATGAATGACACTGTGGACCCCAGGTGATCTTTCTTTGGGGAAAGGTCATTGGGGAGGAATTCATGACAGGGGTTTGTTACGTGCATAGCGAGAAACCCAGTGTTTTGTTACAGTTGCCCATTCCTCACACAATTATGCTTTTTTGTGCTTATTGTTGATACGTTGCCAACTATTTAGTTCTAATTATGATCATTTCTACTTAGATTCCCAGCTCACGGATAACCTTAACCTCCCTGGACTTTGTACCTCTGCCTCTTTCACAGGTCTCTCTTTACTGCACTCCAACGTTGGTCCATGGCTGTAACACCTTGAGTGCACACATTATTATATTGAAGTTGAACATCATGTGCACTAATACAATTAATTTTTATGACTTTGAGCTGCTTTAAATTATTCTACACAGACTCACATGGCCAGCATGTAAGGTCCTAAAGGAAGCCGTTTGTGCAGGAACAATGAGGAGAGTCTTCCTGTCTTCTTTGTGTCCCAGCCTGTGCTTCTGTCCCTCTGGCCAAGGCATTCTGAGGTTTTTAAACACACCAATTTCCAGGTTTTGTTGTAGAATAGGCCACTAGGGTCAATGATAGCAGAAGCATAACTCTGACCCTTGTTTTTTACTGTAGGTATCTTCAAATATATTTGTTCACTCAGTCTTTCCAGTCATCCTTTCTGTACAGTTATCCTTTATTTGTGTCTGTAATACTTTTTGTCTTCATGGTACTCTTATTCCCATTTTCTATGGGGTTTTTGTTCATGGAAAGCTGTCTACTTGCACTGGGACAGGGGAAGAAGCTCATCACTCTGATCCTGCCATCTTGCTGATATCACTCACCTTGGTCTTTTGACTGTGATCTCATTTGTCCTTTGGTGTTCTACCACAATATTGACCCTCCATGTTCTTTGCATTATTAATCCCAAGCAATGCCTCAAATGGGATTGAAGGGAAAGAATCATTTGTGCATCACAGAAGAAACACGACTTTATGAATGACACTGTGGACCCCAGGTGATCTTTCTTTGGGGAAAGGTCATTGGGGAGGAATTCATGACAGGGGTTTGTTACGTGCATAGCGAGAAACCCAGTGTTTTGTTACAGTTGCCCATTCCTCACACAATTATGCTTTTTTGTGCTTATTGTTGATACGTTGCCAACTATTTAGTTCTAATTATGATCATTTCTACTTAGATTCCCAGCTCACGGATAACCTTAACCTCCCTGGACTTTGTACCTCTGCCTCTTTCACAGGTCTCTCTGTACTGCAAGCCAACATTGGTCCATGCATGCAGCACTTTGGAGAGCACACGTGTTATTATATTGAAGTTGTATATCCTGTGATCTAATAAAATTATTTTTTATGGCTCTGAGCAGCTTAAAATTATTCCACACAGACTCACACGGTCAGAATGTAAGGTCTTAAAGGAAGCCATTTGTGCAAGAACAATGAATAGAGCCTTCCTCTCTTCTTTGTATCGACTGATATGCTTCTGTCCCTCTCTTGGTTAGATTTCTAGTATCGACTGACGTTTGGGGCCATGTTATTTATAAAAGCAATATCCTCCCTGTCTAAGTCACTCATCTTGAAAATCATTCTATGCAATCATGCCTAGTCATGACTGTTAATCATTTGTGGTGAAGATATTCTGTTTTCATAAGGTCAACATGTACCTCACCAGCATTTCCTTTTATACAGGTTGCTGTTGTGGAGCAGAGAATGTTGAGGCACTGACTGAGCAGAACGTTTCTGTTAAAGTGTCACAGGCAAGAAATGTCAAGGTAGCCTTGTCTTCCCAGAAGAGCCACCCCTGTGAGAGTTGTGGGCCCGTCTTGGGAAACATTTTCCACGTGATGGAGCTGCAGGGAACGCAACACGGACAGATACTGTTGAGGTGTGGTTCGTGTGCAAAACGGTTTTACTTCAGTGTTAAATTTCATCAGCAGCATGTGAGAGAGAAGACTTTCATTAGAGGTGTGGACAGGATCTCACTTGCAAACAGCTGCAATTTCAAAGTGTCCCAGAATCGTTTCACCTGCAGAAAAGTTGGGCAGGGTTTCCTTACCAGATCAGGAAGTCTCCACCTAACGGCTCCTCAGACCATGGACAGTCCCAATGCTATTTCAACACGTGGAACGATGTTTCAAAGGAGAGAAAATGGTTACACCAGGAATGAATGTAAGGATGACATTAGTTGCACCCACATGTTTATTCAGGAAAACAGTGTCCATGTTGGAAATCGATGTTTTGTGTGCTCTGAATGTGGAAAATCTTTTACAACTAACTCTCACCTTCATAATCATCAGAGAGTTCATACGGGAGAAAAGCCTTATAAATGCTGTGAATGTGGAAAGTCTTTTACACATAGCATTGGTCTCCAGTATCATCAGAGAGTTCACACAAATGCTGTGAGTGGAAAGTCTTTTACACATAGCATTGGTCTCCAGTATCATCAGAGAGTTCACACAGGAGAAAAGTCTTATCAATGCAGTGAATGTGGAAAAACTTTTACAAGTACCAGAGGTCTCCAATATCATCAGAGAGTTCACACTGGAGAAAAGCCTTATCAATGCAGTGAATGTGGAAAAACTTTTACAAATACCAGAGGTCTCCAATATCATCAGAGAGTTCACACTGGAGAAAAGCCTTATCAATGCAGTGAATGTGGAAAAACTTTTACAAGTACCAGAGGTCTCCAATATCATCAGAGAGTTCACACTGGAGAAAAGCCTTATCAATGCAGTGAATGTGGAAAAACTTTTACAAGTACCAGAGGTCTCCAATATCATCAGAGAGTTCACACTGGAGAAAAGCCTTATCAATGCAGTGAATGTGGAAAAACTTTTACAAGTACCAGAGGTCTCCAGTATCATCAGAGAGTTCACACGGGAGAAAAACCTTATAAATGCAGTGCATGTGGCAAATGTTTTATTACTAAGACCCACCTTCGTAGTCATCAGAAAGTTCATACTGCAGAAAAGCTTTATAAATGTAGTGAATGTGGGAAATCTTTTAACACGTGCACTGATCTTTGTCTTCATCAGAGAGTTCACACTGGAGGAAAGCCTTATAAATGCTGTGAATGTGGAAAGTCTTTTACACGTAGCATTGGTCTCCAGTATCATCAGAGAGTTCACACAGGAGAAAAGCCTTATCAATGCAGTGAATGTGGAAAAACTTTTAAAAATGCCAGAAGTCTCCAATATCATCAGACAGTTCACACTGGAGAAAAACCTTATAAATGCAGTGCATGTGGGAAATGTTTTATTGCTAAGACTTACCTTCGTCGTCATCAGAGAGTTCATACTGGAGAAAAGCCCTATAAATGCAGTGACTGTGGAAAATCTTTTACTGCTAGGTCTACGGTAAAATATCACCAGAGAATTCACACTGGAGAAGAGCCTTATAAATGCAGGGAATGTGGGAAAACTTTTTCAAGTATCAAGGGTCTCCAGTATCATCAGAAAGTTCACACTGGAGAAAAACCTTATAAATGCAGTGCATGTGGCAAATGTTTTATTACTAAGACCCACCTTCGTCGTCACCAGCGAGTTCATACTGGAGAAGAGCCCTATAAATGCCGTGAATGTGGGAAATCTTTTAACACATGCACTGATCTTTGTCCTCATCAGAGCATTCACTCTGGAGAAAAGCCTTATAAATGCAGTAAATGTGGAAAATCTTTTAAACGTAGTGGTGGTCTCCAATTGCATCTCAGAGTGCACACTGAAGAAAGACCTTATCTCAGCAGTGAATGTGGGAAGTCTTTTATCACTAGCTCTGAACTTCATTGTCATCAGAAATATACTGGGGAAAATCTTTATAAGTGCAGTGAATGTGGAAAGTATTTTAAAAGTCGCAGTGGTTTCCAATATCATCATCAGAGCGTTCACACAGGAGAAAAGCCTTATCAATGCAGTGAATGTGGGAAATGTTTTATTACTAAGACCCACCTTCGTATTCATCAGAGAGTTCATACTGGAGAAAAGCCTTATAAATGCAGTGCATGTGGGAAATGTTTTATTACTAAGACCCAACTTTGTATTCATCAGAGAGTTCATACTGGAGAAAAGCCTTACAAATGCAGTGAATGTGGGAAATCTTTTATCACTAAAAGCGACCTTCAGAGTCATCAGCGAATTCATACAGGAGAAAAGCCTTATAAATGCAGTGAATGTGGGAAATCTTTTATCACTAAAACCTGCCTTCGTAGTCATCAGCGAGTTCATACAGGAGAAAAGCGTT